ACTTCCACAGAGGACCACTCGCTATCCTCACACCCCCAGACAGAAAAGCATTCTCAGCTGAGCTGTGGGAGCAAAGCTGTCAGCTGCTAACAAGAATTATTTTCGCTAATTTAGAAAATTTGGGATTCATCCAGGCTGAAGCTGGGCAGACCTCATTCCTAAGCATTTCTTGATGGATTATTTTTCATTTTGAATTGCTATTACTATCCCATCAATAGCAGGAGTTGTGGCTGTTTTGTTTTTGTTTTTGTCAGCATAAAGAATACAGAGAGGTTCAATGCCCTAGGCCTCGGGATGCTGGGAGACACAACAAACAGCCACAAACCCAGCCCAGAACAACCTATGCTGCACTCAAAACTGAGAAGGGACCCCACCAAACCCAATGGCCAATGAGCCTCCAATTTCATATCCATCTGTTCATGTTATAAATCTGCTGTTTGGCTGCACAAACAGACATTTCACTCCTTTACAAACATTTCCTGAGCCAGGTGAACTGTGCTGGCACCGAGAACCAGAGATTGTGTGTGTGTGCGTGTGTGTGTGTGTGTGTGTGTGTGGTCCCCACCCTGAAGGAGCTCAGTTTACTGAACATAACAGATAGTAAGTAAATCAACAGTTATGCTGATAAATGCTCTGGGAGAGAAAAATGCAGGGTGTTCTGGAACCAGGAGGAAGGTCATCTCCAGGTCACCGAGAAGTGCAGGGTGGGGAAGGACGGTGTCTGGAGAATGGAAACTTGACTGAGTTACCAAAATGGGGAGCAGGGGTGGGTCACTCCTAGGAGAAGGCCCAGCAACGGCAAAGGCACCAGGAGGCATAGGCTGTTGGAAGGTTGGACTGAGGTTAGAAATATGGGTTAGAGAAAAAGTGAAATGAGGAAGGTGGCCCAGGGCCAGATTATGAAAGAACTGTAGGCCCGCTGACGGGACTTGGGTTTTCTTCTAGAAGCAATGAGAAGCCCTTGGAGAGTTATAAGCAAAAGAAAGCCATGGTCAGATTTGTGAATGAGAAATATCTTGCTGATAGGAGTGTGAGAGTGGCAAGAGGGAGGACAAAGATGGACACAGGAAGACAAATGAAAAGCCTGTTTAAAAAAATTCCCACGATAAGTCCCAAAATGAAGGAGTGAAGAGGGAGAAGGTGTGAGGTGACAAATTAGAGAGATGGTCTCCACAGGATGTGGCAACTGGTGGGTGATGACATTTGAGGGAAAGGACAAAGCCAAGAATGACTCCTAGAGTAGACAGAATTGAGGGAGTGTAGTCCCACCCAAGGCAGGCAACAGACACACAGAGAAAGACACATTTGGTACCAGGGGAGGGATGAGTTTGAGATACCTGCGGGGCCACAGCTAGGAGTGAAGGCTGGGAGGGGATTTGGGGCTGAATATGTAGATGTGGGGTGACTCCCAGATAGAGGAAGCAGTAGATGAACTCATCTGGGGAGAACACTTAGGGTGGCATGAAAGGGACCAAGCAAAACTTTATTAAGCTAAGGACTAAGAAAACTGGCAAAGCAGACTGCAGAGGCTGAGGTCCGGAGGACAAGGAGAGGGCAGGCCAGATATGGAGTGAGCAGATCCAGGAGGGGAAGGGAGCGCTCAGGATGGCCAGAGACATGAGGTTTGGAGGGAGCCCTGCTGAGGGAACAGTTAGCTGGGTGCTAACTACCACAGCCAAGCAAAAGAATTAAACCTCAGTAGCATTATTATGACATCTTCCCGCAGCAGCCTCATTATCTCACTTCATGTCTTGATGAGGACTTCCTGATGACCCTAAGTAAACTGTTAGCCCATTACTCTCACTTTATTTCACTTTAGAGCATTACCATGCTGCCTGCCCTTGCACTACTGTGTATCTCAGACCTCTAGACTATCTGCCCCACTAGGACATCTGCCTAACGAGGACAGAGCACTTGTTTGGTGTCATTTCTATAACCACAGCACCGAGAGCACCTTGTCCCAAGTTGTCTGGCTCATTAGAAGCAACAAATATTTAGTGAGCACATACTACATGTCTGATACCATGTAGATGCTGGGGGCACAGATGCAAACAAGACAAAATAGGGCCCTGCCCTTGGAGCTTGAAATTGGAGGTGAGCAGAGAGAAATACCAAGTATCGAAACAGAAAGTAGATTATAATTGCCACAGAGCTAGGACCGAAATCCTACTGACATGCTTCCTTTCCAAGCCCAGGGCTGCCGCCTTCTCCAGCTAAAGGAAAACAGTATCTGGTGAAACACTTAAAGTTAAGTGTGAAGTTTGGGCTTTGTCTCTTCCAGAGATCCCACACTCCTTCCACCCTTTTAGTAGGTGCCTAGGAAGTGGAAACACCCACTAGAGTCTCTGAATATTTAACCGGAAGAGCTCAATCTGTCTCTAGTAATTCTATGTAAGTAGGAGGAGAAATTCTGACTTAGATGGGAGAAAACAGGGAGCAGCATAAACCAGGGGTCAGATAGAACTGGGTTCAAATCTCTTATAATCTTGGGCAGGTTATTCAACCTATGACTGGATTTCCTTATTGCGGAAATGAAAATAGTACTTTTCACGTCACAGGCTGTTGCAAAGATAAAATAAAGTGACAGTAGAGAGTACTCAGCACTGTACCTGGTACACAGTGAGTGTTCCATAAATGGTGACTCTAACCCAGTTACGCCTGTTGCTTTTATTACTCTCTTTTAATTGCTATATTCACATAAACCAAACCACAAACGACTTAGAATTCAAACCAAAGGAGGTGCACTCAAAATAATCAGAGCATAAATTGATATCTAGTTGAATGACTTGAAGAATTAGTTCAAATTACCATATTTGAGCAGACTCTGCAGTAAGAAGTTTTATTCCAATTTATTGGTCCTCCAAACGTAGGCAAATCTAAGTATTTCCCCAACAGATCATATCTTGTCTCATGGCAAGAGTCCAAACAGGACTGGATTCTGCAGTGCAAGTTGTGGCAGAGCTATGCACACCACGCCTCAAAGGGAGCCTAAGAACACAATGCAAGCCCAGTGTACACACAAACTCCCCAACACAGCTTGGCTCCAGAGGAGGAAGTGAGAACTGGTCCCAGCATGCTTTACCTGCCTCAAAGCTAAAGAACAGGTTACTTAGACATGCAAATACTGAAATCTTCTGTGTCGCCTTTCTTTTACCACCCAAACTCTATGCGTGGTCCACTTTACTGATGTCTCTGATTCTTTATTCCTTATTTCTGTGCAACTTGGCTTCCTTCCACTTCTTCCTGGCCTCGGCCCCCCTCACGGCATCACATGTCTCAAGGCCATCTGTAGCCACCTTGTCACAGGTTTGGTGCCCTTCTTTCAGGTCTTTTCTCCCTGTCCTTTTCCCTTCCTGGGACTCCCACCTTCCTGGCTCTGGTTCTTTTCTACCTTCTTCTTTCCATCCCAGAGTTGGGTGCATTCCGCAAGGCTGAGGCCTCTGTTCATCATGGGAGAACTTATTTAAACCAATGGCTCCTGTTCTACATCTCCAGGCCTACCCTCTAAGTCCAGGCTTCAGCCCTGCTTTTCCAGTTGTCTATGAACCACTGTCATCTTGAATTCAATATGTCTAAAACCAGACACATCAACCACGCTTCTTCACACCTGATGTCTCCCAAGTTTAAATTTTTATCTTTGGCTCCTGTCGTTAAGAAGCCTGAAAATCCTATGGTTCTTCCTTTGCAATCTCTCTTCGATTGGTCCTGTGCTCTCATTCTAACCACTCTTAACCACATGACCTCATGCCTGGATCACTTTGGCTGCCTTTGAATAGGGCTCATGCCTCTTGTCCAGGTATCAGATGAATGTTCCTAACATGTCACTCTGCCATTTCACTTCTTTGCCCAAAATAATGTCAACAGTTCCCCACTGCCTACAGGAAAAAGACTAAATGCGTTAGACTGGCATTTAGGGATTAGAAAAAGAGTGGGCAAACTACAGCCCACAGACCAAATCTAACCCACTACCTAGTCTGTAAATAAACTTTTATTGCAGGGTAGGGAACATCTAGCCTGTGGACCATATAAGACCTGCAAAACCATTTGGTCTGGCCCTACCAAAGCATTGGGGTGAGTTAATTGTTTGACCAAATATAGCAGGTTAATTTTTTTGTTGTTAATCCTCATCCAAAGCTATTTTTTGAATAATTTTGAGAGAGACTGGAAGGGACGAGGAGAGGCAGAAAGAGAGAAACATCAATGTGAGAGAGACACATTGACTGGTTGCTTCCCACACACTCCCTGACCATGGCCGGGGATTGTGCCCTTGACCGGAATGGAACCTGGGACTCTTCAGTCTAAGGGCCAATGCTCTATCCACTAAGCCAAATTGGCCAGGGCTAGCAGACTAATTTTTAAGTTAACAATTTCAAATGGCCCAGAATGATATTATAAATATCCAAATGGCTATTGGAAGAAAAACAGTTCCCCACCCCTGCTTTATTGGAACACAGCCACACCCACCATTTCTGTATTATCTATGGCTGCTTTCATGCTACAATGGCAGAGTTGAGTAGCTATGACAGAGACCACATGGCCTATGAAGCCGAAATATTTACCATTTCATCCTTTACAGGAAAGTTTGATGACCCTAGTCTAGAATAATCAAACACCAGCAGATCCTGTCAAAGTTCTTGACCATGACTCCTTTGGATGAAGTTCTCTACAGCTGAGACCACTTTCACTGTGTCTTACGCCCACCGTCTCAAGCCCAAAAAGCTTATTTCTCTCCTCCCTGGACTTCTTCCTTCAAACAAAGCCAAAGTTCTACCTCTCCATGAGGCCATCTGCATCCATCCCCTGCCTCCCTGGATGGCCTTCTCTGGCCCCCTCTCTGCAGCTCCCACAGAAGCCCACACTGACACTCCACTTCTGTGGATCTGTTCCTCCTTGACTACAAGCTTCTTTAGGGTTCAGGCTTGGTAACTTCCACAGAGCACCAATGACAACTACTGATCCTTGATAGCATAATTTCGTAAGAAGGCATCGAACAAACTTACCAATGAAGGCCTGGGATTCCACATTTGAAAAGTTAAGCTTGGGTCCAAAAGTATGCACTCTAGCCAGCACCACCTACAAAATAAGCCAATGAGATAAGAGTTTAGCTTTAAAATAGATTATTTATACATTTTCTTTAAACTTACAATTCCCAATAAGTTTGATTTACCTTCCTCCCAGGATGCCCATCTCTGCTTCTCTGCCTAGGAAAAGCTACTTATCCTGCAAATCCACTGAACAGTCCTTCCCTGGAAGCCTCCCCAGGGTCCTAGGCAGGCCAGGCACACCCTCCTCCCAGCTCCCATGGAGCTCTGGTGAGATGTTTATGGCAACACTCTGGCACAATGTAGCATAATTTCTTATTTAGGAAAGGGATTTCTTACACTGGAGACTTATCAAGAAAAGAGATTTAGTAAATTCATTCCTTCCCTTTCCCCTACTGCCTAGCACACTACAGGCATTTAGGCAGTCCTCAATAAATATTTGTAAAATGGGTGGAAAAATAACCTACTCAATTCATTAACACACGCCTGAGTATCTAACATTCTGCTAGCCTGCAATTTTTACCATACAGATGCATGCCTCAATCCCACTGCTTTTAATAGGCAATGGTTTAACGGGAAGAATTAATGAGATTAACCTTCTAAATGCACACCTTTGGAATGACACTCCCTTGGGCAGAAACCTCCAGAGGCTCCCAGAATCTAAGAAGGCTAGCCCAATTCTAGAGCCAGGCTGCCAGGCCTGCACCAACTAGCCCGGCCTGATTCTGCAAGCTCAGCTTGTATGGTCTCCCCCCCATGAGCCCTACGAACCAGGCAAAAAGGACTGATAGCTAGTCCTTTCTCTCTGGCTGGAGGTCTTCCTCTGCTTCTCTCCACATAATTTCCTCCTCCGGAAATGCCATCCATTTCACACATCATATTCCCAATCACCAAGTCATGGGATGGGGGAAAGGGGTTGTGTGGAGATAAGGTTTTTTTCTCTCTGATTTTTTTTTTACTGTGATAAAGCACAGATAACAGAATTAACAGGCTTAGCCATTCTTAAGTGTACAGCTCAGTATTATTAAGTATATTCATACTGTTGTACAACCATCACCATTCATCTCCAGAATTCCTTTCATCTGCAAAACTGAAATTTTATACCTTTATAACAATAACTTCCCCTTCCCCCTTCCTTCTAGTCCCTGGTACCCAAAAATATTTGTGGAATGAACAAATGAAGACATCAATGAATTTGGCCTCAACTCTCCCCATAAAAGCCAGAAGTACTCTCCCCTTCTGCTGGACTCCCATGCTACTATCTGCTCACCTTAGATTTATTTCAATCAATCTTAAATGACCATTTTTTTGCACAATGGAATTCTCCTCAAGGCAGGAACTATGACTTACTTGAAAGATTAAGCTTGGTCCAAAAGCACAAAGACCTGTCCTCCATGTTGCTAGATCTGATGGGCAGGTCTTAGTGCTCATCTTACAGCTTTTGCTACCAGTTAGTCATTCCCTCTTGTTTGACTACTCTCTTCACCTGGCTTCCAGGATGGCAATCTTGGTTTTCCATCCACCTCACTGACTGTTCCCTTTGTTGGTTCTTCCTTGTCTCTCCGCCTCCTAATGTCAAAGTGTGCCAGGGTTCCGTCCTTATTCTTTTCTCTTCTCTGTATACCCTTGGTGATCTCGCCTCATCTCAGGGATTCCAATATCAGCTATATGCTGATGATGCCCAGATTTCTCTCCAAGCCTGGACCTCTCCTCTGAACTCCTGGCTAGTATGTCCTATTGTCTGCTTCAAGTCAAATGGACAAGAGGTCTAAGACTTGTCCAATGTCTCAAGCTTCACATGTCTAACACAGACCCCTGACCTTCCTCCAGACTTGCTCCCTCCGGAATCTTACCCATCTTACTTTAATCCACTGACTGTCCAATTGCACAAGCCAACAGGTTTGGAGTCATTTTTGTCTCCTGTCTTTCTCTCTTATTCCACATCCAATCCTCACCAAAACTGATTTTTTTTTAACCTTCAAAATATATTCAGAATATGACCATTTCTCATCTATTACCATCCTAGATTATTGCAATAGCCTCCTAACTGATGTCCCTGCTTCTACTCTTGATGTCATTCTTACCTCCATCCATAGTCTATTCTCAATAAGGGAGGGACTCTGTAACAACATAAGTCAAATTATATCATTTGTTTGCTTAAAATCCTTCAAAGTCTTCCTAGCAATGACAATGTCAAAGGAATGAATGTTTCCAAAGTGGTTTAGGGGAAGGTCGGTGGGGGAGGTAGGGTTTTCAGGCCACTGTTCTCTTCCCGTCCATGTATTTCTTGATTGGCAGTCCTGACTACCTCTCCTATTATCTGATCTCTTAAAGAAGGGAACCATTTTAAAGGGAGAAAAATACAATCAATCAGCTTCCCTTTTCAGTTCATGTACCACAAGAAGCCAATAACACTTTTATCAAGAAGCAATTAGATATGCCGAGTATGCAACCACATAATAACTAGTTTCCAAAGACAAAACTAGCCTTCCAGAGAATAGTCATTACCCCCTTGGTGGTGGCAAATCCTCCTTAAGTCCCCTCTTCTCCCTGCTCCCTCCAGCCGGTCACCCAGCCTTGTGTGCCTACTTGTGCCTAGTCTCTATCCCTCTCTTCCATCTTACTGATGCTGTGGCTGGAGGTGAAATCCAAATGAATTAACTAAGGTCTCATCAGTATCCTTGGAGCTACAGCAGCCTCCTAATCAGTCTCCCCACTTTTAATCATTTATTTCTTCCAACTACAACCTCAAACAGTTTCTGAGATGACTTTAAGTAAACCTGAATTTGATTAAGTCCCCTGCTTAAAATTCTCCAGAGTTTCCTAAATTTACATACTATATATTTTTCAAAAAACATAGTACAGCAAGCCATAGTAAATATTATTTTCTTTTTTAATCTTCCCTGGATGCTTTTTTCTGCATTCTTCTTAAAAGGACCTTGCTGGCCCTAACAGGGGTGGGCAAATGACCCAACCCAGGCTAGAATGCTCTCCCCTCGAAACAGTGACTGGTCCAAAAGGATTAGCACACTACCCAAGCCTGGCCAACCACAGCCTTTCTCTGGAATTGATGTATGGATTCAGAGAAAGGAAGTCTCCCTTCCCTGGAATGGTTAACCCGGCGCTGTCAGCAGGGAAGCCCCCAGAAGAAGGGTGGCCTGTCTGTAGTGGAAAAGACTGATGCCAACACACAAAGAACAGAAGGCAAAGAACCAAACAGACCACCAGCAATATCAATGCCCATTGTGAAACCTCTTCATTTCGTGAACTCCTAGAGCGTCCTTTCCAGTTATGGAACTAATTACTCCCCTTTATGCCTCAGCTAGCTGGAGTCCCAACAGGCCCACCATGCTGTTGCCTATATCGATGCTTTCCCCCCACATTGTTTTCTTTGCCCAGAATGCATACTCTTGGATTTGTGCACAGCAGCCAGGCTTCCTCTGGGGAGCCTTCCCTGAAGTGAGGCACAGTTAGTCCAAACTTCCTGATGTGCTGTAAAATGCTTAGACTATACCCACTCTGTTGCACTTACACTCCTCCCCTGCCTTTCCAGGTTCAAAGCTAGCTGCCCACACTAGAAACTACAGACTCAACCTCATCTCTTCACACTTCCTTGTTGCCCATGTAGACTTTCATCTTTCTTTTGTCCCAATGTCCACTGTCACCTCCTACCACCTACAGAGTCAAATCCTTGGTATTGGGGCCCTTCACAAACTGGCCCCAACCCAAGTCCTCTAATTTCTACCAACCACTTCCACTTCCAGGAAGATGGAGTACACATACTTTTCTCTATTCCACCTGCTATGCACAACTAAAACTCTGGATGTTATACATAAAACAAGCATAAGAAGACTCTGAAAGGCAGAGTGAAGAAGGCAGACCTGTTAGGGACCTCAGGACCCAGGCAGGACACTGTGGTGAGTTCCCTGCATTTTCTTGTTGCCTCACATAACCAAGACTTGAAACTGAAGAAGCCGGCAACCTGGAAATGCCAATAGACACAGAGAAAAAAAAAGCCCCAGGAAAAGCTTGCTCCATCCAGCAAGACAAAAACTTTTAGATAATAACTACTCTATTTCAGCCAAACACCACAGAAAACCTCATGTCCCACCCACACCCCTACCAGCAAAGTGCAAATGACATTTGGAAAAAACTCTACAGCTAACAATATACTTAATGGTGCAAGACTGAATGCTTTCCCCCAAGATTAGGAATGGAAAATAATGTCCTCTCTTATTCAGCATAGTATTGGAAGCTTCAGCCAGCACAAGAGGTAACAAAAAGAAATAAAAAACATACAGATTGGAAATAAATAAATAAAACAATTTCTATTTGCAAATGATATGACTGTCTAGAAAACCCTGAGGAATATACACACACAAAAATGCTTATGACTAATTAGTGGGTTTAGCAAGGATGTGAGGATACAAGATAAAAATAAAAAGCAATGCACATGTGGACACTGAAATTAAAAGTACAATACCATTCACTATCACTGAAAAAAATAAAGAAATTAATACTTAGATGTAAATATAATTTCTTTCAACAAATCATTCTGTGTACAAGGCACATGAGTCTATCTGTCTTGAGGGTGGGGACAGTGTATTTGTTTTTCTCTCTAATGAAACCAAAATACCTAGCCATTGCCCAGCACCTACTAGACATGCAATATTTATTGTCACAGCTCATACCCTGCTCTGTTTAACATAGACTTTCTTCCCCTCTATGCTCTAGTGAGATCACTGTCTATTAAAAAGTGCCATCTCTAGTTTCTACCTTGGCAGGTCATGATTGCCAAGGAAGAACCAGGGAAACTGTCTGCTCCCACTCCCAAACACACTTATGTCCTTACACGGCAGACAATAGGAATATGAAGTGGCCTCTGTAGGCATCTCTCAGCCACCCAGTCCAGGGGGTCCTAAGGCTTGGCCCAAAGGCTCCAGAGCATGATGTAATGGTGTGAGACCACTGCCACTGTTGTCTCAACCATGCTCTGTGCTGGAAGGAGCTATGAATGCACCCCTCTCCGCCAT